TCCTTTGTAACTGCTGCTATCAACAAGTCATCTACATATTGTAATAATACACACTCTCCTGGGATAGACTCGAAATCTAGTAGATCTTGACTTAGAGCTGAACCAAATAGGGTAGGTGAATTTTTAAACCCCTGGGGCAATCTTGTCCAGGTCATTTGGCGTTTCGAGCCCGTTACAGCATTTTCCCATTGGAAAGCGAAGATACATTGGCTTTCTGCGGCAATTCGGAGGCAAAAGAAGGCATCTTTGAGATCTAAGACTGTAAAGTAAGTAGCCCCGCCCGGAATTAAAGCAAGCAGGTTATATGGATTGGGCACGACTGGATGTATACTAACAACCGCATCATTGACTGCTCTCAAGTCCTGCACAGGTCGATACTCATCTGTACCGGGCTTTTGAACAGGCAGCAATGGGGTGTTCCAGGGGGAAGTACAGAATTTTAGGATACCATACCGTATGAACTTATCCAGATAAGATTGGATGTTCTTCTTAGCCTTCTGCGGAATATGATATTGTCTCAGGCTTACTGGATAAACCCCAAGTTTTAGTTCGATTTTAATAGGTGGAATATTGCGGGCCAGTCCTGGTGGGTTGTTCTCTGCCCAAACTCCTGGTATGTTAAATAAGGATTCATCACTCCTCGGGTTTTGGCTAGTCAACACTGTATAAAGTCGCCACTCTTCTTCCTTTGGTACGGACAATGTCATAATACCTGAGGGTCCATTAAACTTTAAGGATGTTGTTCCATTTGGTAGGAACGTAATCTGCGCTTGTAATTTGGATAGCATATCACGTCCCAGCAATTGGACTGGACACTCAGGCATATAAAGGAATTGATGTTTTACTACGTGGCCTCCCAATGTACAGAGTCGACTTTTAAGAACCGGTTTTTCAGCACTTCTTCCAGTTGCTCCTATTACGGTAATAGTTCTTCCAGATGGAGGAGCAACTTGATTAGTCACCACCGAATGTTCAGCACCAGTGTCGATCATGAACGCACTCCTTTTTCCCCCTATTGATACATCGACCATAGGCTCCGCTCGACCAAGGGGGATGGAGCCCGGTCGGTATCAATAGTCCTCCATGACCGTGTCAGCCAATCCCACAAAGTCCCTACCTTCTCTATCGCGAGACCTTTGCGCTGCTGGATAGTACCTATCTTCCTTACACTTCCTCTGTTCCCATTACTCCCTCTATTACCATTACTCCCTCCGGGGCCTCCTCTACCTCTCGCTCTGCCTCTAAAGTTTCCGTAACCTGCCCTGGGTAAGTCTCTCTCATACTGCTCTCTTTGCGGACACTCGTTCCTCCAATGCCCTTCTTCCTTACAGTACGCGCACTGATTCCTACTCAAAGGCTCCCTATTCCATCTACCATCGCCTCTATCTGGGCCCCGTCTATCTACGCCTGCGATCGCTACCGCTAGCATATCTGCCTTTCTACGCATCTTGCGCTCTTCCTCTTTCTTACTTTCTGTTTCCCTATTCATATATACTTTGTTCGCTACCTCCATTAGTTGGGTGATAGACATACCTGCAAACCCTTCTAATTTCTGTAGCTTGCGCTTAATATCTCCGTAAGCTTGGCTGACAAAGGCGGAGTTTACCATTCGGGAATTATCAGCGTCTTCCGGATTAAAGGGGGTATACAAGCGGTATGCCTCCAATAATCGGTCATAAAAGACACTGGGCGCTTCATCACTTTTCTGAATCACCTCAACTGTCTTCGACATGTTAATAGCTTTCTTCCCTCCGGCTTTCATGCCAGCAATTATAGCGTCTCTATAGGCTTTAAGTTGAGCCATATCTGCGCCATTTACATTCCAGTCAGGATGGGTGTTAGGGTAATGTGTTGCGGCCCATGCTGCCGGATTGGCTTGATTTAAAGCACGGGCTCTCTCCTCTAGCGCCTTAATGGCCGCTTGGTTAATCCTTGTCCTTTCCTCATTATTGAACAATGTCATTAATAACTGCTGGCAATCAGCCCATGTCGGGTTATGTGTCTGAACTATCGAGGTGAACAGATCGGTCATAGCTTGTGGTTTCTCAGTGTACGAGGAATTGTGGGTCTTCCAATTCAAGAGATCGGTAGTCGTGAACGGGACATATACGAAGACTGGGTCAGCATGTGCCATTTGACCTGCGGCATCGATATAGGCTGACCCAGGATTCAGGCGAAGAGGCATCTGATAATGTTTTAATTGTTGGGTACCGGTCAGTTGTCGGGTTAGTATGGGGCTACGTGGAGGGGCGTCAGTTAAAGGTTCCGGTCGAGAGGTAATAGGGCATGAGGATGTGGGAACTTGATTTTGGGAAAAGTTAGTGAATAGTATACTCCGAGCCGAGCTAGAAGAAGCTTGACCGGAAGTTTGAAGTGGCGCCAAATCAGGATATTCAAATCTAATGGGGGTTGGTCCTGGTTCCGGAAGGGGAGTTTTAATACGAGGGGGGGTGGATTCTGTACTGGAGGAGGAAGCGGAAGTGGATGGGGGCAATAGGGGAAGGGGTGCAGAGCTTCCTGCATTCGCGTCACTTCCTCTTAAAGAAAGTAAGGAGGCGGCAAAGGGATCTCGGACTCAGGGGGCGTGTCCAAAATGGGCCTAACACCAGTCCTAGTGGACAAACAAGTCCTGGCCACCATGAGGCGACATTGCTCCTCGTGGCATATCCGGATCCATTTTGGCGAGTCGTTTACGGCCTGCCCCCAACAATCAATGTATGGAAACTGTCCGTAAAGTTCAGGCCTACCTGACACAGCCACGTGTACACGCTGTACCAGGGTTGGATCCAAACTGCCACGCGGCGGCCATGCCGCAACCAAAATAGGCCACTCCCTAGTGCACAAAGTGACCAAACGTACAGGAGACATTTTAACCCCAAAATCACATGTTTTGAATCCCTTTTTAAAATTCTTTACCATACAACCTAAGGGATCCGAAATCGTTGACTCTGACGCGCCCATACTTATCAATGGAACGTCGTTGACAACGAATACTATGCACGCGTTCTTATTCAACAGTCACACCCGTTTCCTCTGGCAACAGCACCACGTGGTACAGTTACCGAGTGAAACGTACACAATAACACAATAATCACTCAGGGAATTCCCGTACACACACAGCTGTTACACCAGTCACTAAATAATCAATATTATGCCCTTTGGCGAAACTATACAGTCACCCACGCTATAATTCTCTATATATGAATTACCCGTCTATAACACACCCCAGTAACATCGTCTTTTACTAGTATCGGTTACAGTACGGTTAGCATAGGTCAAAGCACAATTTAAGGTCACAATACAATTATTAGTGGTTAGGGTGTTAAACATGCAATAGACGACAATGATTAGTACTTATATACAGTGTCAGTAAATATACAGGGTTATGGTACCGTGCACTATGATACAGCAACACACTATTAACACTCTCGCTAGACGGCTGAGCTCGCGCTATCTAACAAGATATACACTTTACTAACAATCTTTAACACATTTACAATCCCAACTAAACTATTGGCCAGTACCTTGAATGGACTACCTAAAACTATATACACCCGTTTTGGTTAGCCACACTGCCCAAACACCACATATAGCGAACTAGAGGGCGAAATTTACAAAATTGCCCTTCTAGTCTATTTACTCTATCAAAAGTCTAGTGGGTTCCAAATTTACACGCCTTCCCACTTAGCCAAGATAGGTTGAGAGCTAGCGAACCGAATTTACACAGGCGCCGCTTAGTCTCCCGGTCCCTCCGACCTAGCGAACGTAATATACACCCTAGAACGCTAGTCTAGACAAGACACCGGTGTCCGGCTAGGGCTATTTACACAGGACCCCGCCTGACTAACCAGATCAAACGGTCTTACTAAAGAGCGTTCGATCGAGCGGTGCGCCTTCGCTCCTTCCCTCCGACAGAGGGGGCAGATTCCATACACAGATTTAAACCCCTTTTGGGCCTACCGCACAATCGGTATACCCCTAGTGGGTCTGCCGTCTAAAACAGCAGTTGTCTTACCTCCTCGTTCCTGAACCTGAGTTCACACTCATCGACGGGGACACCCCAGCACTTCTTACGTAGAGGCCGATGATCTCCTGGACAACAGACCAGTGGCGCCGAGACGAAGGGAGGTCCACGCAGAAGTTCAGGGGTGCAGCCGTAGAGAACGTGGGCAAAGATAGACCGTCTCACGCCTCTGCCTCTCAGCTACCGTTGAACGATGAGCTTCCCGGCCAATGCACCAAATGATACCGGAGAAACTGACGGAAGCAAAGCACAGAGGGATGGACACAGGTTTCTTCAGGAAGGAAGAGATTCTTTATTGGATCACCGATCGGGACTCAGAGGGACTAATGTCACCAAAAATACAGCAAGTTCTGAGCCCTGAACAATAGTGCAGGCTCCCTATATAGGCACATAACTCCTCCCATATTAAGCTCCACCCGCACATTCTCTTGACCAATCATTACAAATAAGAATTAACTTCCTGCTTGACCGCATGGCTTGTCCAGCACAATGGAGGAGGGGAATACTACATCCTGTATTCTTGCCCATGCTCCGTACACTACTGATCGTATCTTGCCTCGTGCAACCAACTGATCGATACGTCAGCATATGCACGTACACATGCCACGTGGTAATCTCGGCCTACTAAATTTATTTTTACCAAGATTCCACCACATTAATTATTCTGTATAACAGAGTTATAACAAAATCGCTTGTTTGGGTTACATTCGTTTTTGTTTTCTGTTGTCATGATTAACATTAAATAAATTACTATTTTGATTTTAATTTAGACCTGTTTCACTCATATCTGCCCAAGAGATAGATTCTCTTTCTGTTTTTTTGTATATAAAGATCAGGCCCATAGGGAGGGGTCTAAGATAACCTACACCACTGACTAAAGGGTCTGCATGTTGTGCTGTACTTATAAATAATGGAATAGAAAACAGAAAGAAAAAGACAAAAATGATCCACACTACTACTATATTGATTATTGTTTTTTTTTTTATTTGCTCTTAAATTCACACACATCAGCATAGCATGGCTATAGTCAGTATGATATATTTCCATGGACAATAACTATGTAGCAAGCAGTTAGGAAATTAGATTTGTTTTCTGTAGCTTCGGTATAGGGGAAGAAGGCATGGCATATTCATTTGTCATAGTGGTAGGCACAATATATGTATAGAAGTGGGAGGTAAAATCTGATCATCTGAAGCTGTCTTTGCACTGAATGTCATCCCGATTCTCAGCCTGAGCTGCTTCCACTCCCATGCTGCTTAAGGTACTGTGGGAAAAGAAAGGCATGTTATCAGAAGAGACCATTTGCCAAAGTAGACAACCCAAGGTATTGCAAATGGTGTATGTCCAGTCTTTTTTAGTAGCCACATGGTCACAAACACTGGTCAAAATTGTCATTCAAATTAGTTTTTTGCATTTTTCACACACAACAAATATTAACGCTAACTGTTTTACACGTGAGACATTGCTGAATACAAATATGTGTATTTTATTGCAGTAAAAACAAACAGTATTATGGCATCCACAGTTATAATGTCATGCAGAACTAAAAAAATAACATTTCTTAATTTCTTTTTTTATATATTTTATTCATATTAAATTATGTTTCATAGCTAAATATTTGATGTTAAATGAAAGCCCTACTTCTCCTGAATAAAATGATATATAATAAGTGTGGGTGCACTTAATATGATATAGGTGAATTACGGTTGAACAGACATATAGTCAAATTCCAGGTTTTGTTTACATTTTGTTTTGATCAAAACGTGTACATTTGGATCAGTCCTTAAGGGGTTAACCAAGTTTCTATGCCTCATCTAGATTGTTTTCCTGCTTAACTGTAGAATTGTTTGCCAGAGCACCTACAGCATAACAGTAAGTCCATGTGGCTGAATGACACAGCGTAATACATAGTTTTGAGAGGGTGCTACAGATTTAAGGGGCAGTGGGCCAAAATCGTTTTCCTTATTTTATCTCATGCAGTGCAAGATTGCTAGTATCTCAATGTTGATTTCAGTGCTTGAGATGTTAAACTTAAAGCGGCACTGTAATGGCCGAATCCAGTTTCTTTTGAACCCCCCCTCCTGACTCCACTACATCTAATTGAACCCCCAAATGCTCCTAAGCCCCCCATATAACCTATTTTTTATCTTTATTTTCTGCCTAGACCTACGTCCTGGGCGCCACCATCTGCCCACACTAGATAGCGCTGTAAAATTCCCGTGCATGCCCAGTTAAACACTTGGGCATTCGAATGGGAATTTGCCCTCCATGTCCTCCCTCGCTCTATGGCTCTATGATTAAAATCTCCTGAATGCCCCTACTCGCAGCTACTAAACAGAACATTCTGATTGGTTGAATTCCTTGCCAACCAGAATGCTGTGGCAGGTAAATGTAGAGACTTACCTGTCTGTCTCTTCTTTTACCTGTCAGATCACTCTGATTGGTTGGCTTAAACCAACCAATTAGAGTGATCTGACCCAAATTGCACCGTGGCCTAGCTGGGTGAAGGATTTTTTTTTAGCGTCGGAATTATTATTTTTTGCTCTGTTTTTTTTTTTTATAAGTTCAACGGATATTATGTTTTTTATTTGACCTTTTTTGGGCATGAAAACATCAAATGGTAAGTATTTTATTTATTTATTTATTTACAGGGATTTAGATTTATGGTCTCCACCCTCACTATTTTTAAGGTGATGGGGTAGGTAGTACTTTTTTGGGTTTGGGGGGGTTAATACATGCCCCACCATGGGGGCATTTTTTTTAAGGGGGTGGGGGCAAGTGTTTACTAGACATGCCCCTACTTACAAAATAGCGAGTAGGGGCGGATTAATTACTAATACCAAGTAATTTTTACTTGATATTTGTACAGTTGGCTGAAAGACTAATCTTATTCTTTCAGCCTTTTGGTAGATAGCTACCTAATACCGTGGGAATGCAAGATGCAGCCGCGATCGAATCTGAAATTTCATTCATTCGAATGAAAGTTAGAACCGAACAAAAGGCCTTGAATTTCGTCCTAACACAAGTGGACGAACTGCTCTCATTCTGTTAGTGCAAAATTCGGTCATTTTGCCCAAGTTCGGGAATACGGAAAAGAGGCATCACAAGAACATGGAGGAAAGGTGAGAATTGTGGGAAAATTTCTCTGGCCACCGGAAATGGAGCACACTTTACTCTTCCGCTGGTCAAAGATGATCAGGCGTATGAAACCTCCATAAGACAAAGTAGTCCCTACTTTGTCTTATGTTTTAAAGAAAACTAGAGCAGACAGGAAAACATGAAGAACAGATCCTGAGAGAGGAAGAGAAGAGGAAGTGATTGGGGAAAGGTAAGTTCCGCTTAATTAGTATATAAATATACTATATATATAAAAAAGTTTTAAAAAAAATGTGCTGACTTATGCTATACACTTTATCTTATGTACTATGGCTATCTCCAAAAGTGTAAATTGTTCACGCTTCATATGTAACATGCACACCAAAAATAAAGAATAATAAAAAAAAAACTGTTAATGCTAAAGTAAAAAACTAAACTTGGTATTTAATACAAGCATGTGTTGCTATACCCAGTGGTATATTTGTAACATGACTAATAGTGTGATGTCACGACACTAAGAGTAAAGCCATTGGATTAAATAGTATTATTTTGTTGTGAACAATTTAAATAATACCTTTATAGATGGACTTCAGACAGGTAGTAAATAGGGCATTTCAATTAGCTATGACACCACCTACAGTCTTTATCATTTCAATCTATTATCTGGGCTTTCCCACCCCTACATGACACCTTTTCTCTATTGTATTGCTTGTTCTTTGTTGTTATTTTAGACCTCTACATCCTAGAGTGTTTTCTAAATCCCTCTGTGTCTTTTACAGGTTCTACCTGTCCCTTGTTCTTTCCTGAGTTACTATTTCTGCCTATTGTTCTGTCTTTGCTTTTCCAGCACATTGAGTCATTTATTGGTTCACTGTGCCTCCTTCAATGCACTTCGTTCTTCCTTGTCCTTTATAACTTTCCTTTTGACACTTTTACTTTCAGGAACCTCCCTAGTTGTATCCACACCAGATTCCTCTTGGGCTGAGCACCCCACCCATTCACTATAGCTGCCTCTTTCGAAGTGACCACAGGAAAACATACATTGAGGAGTCTCTGGAAGCAGTTTTAATAGTACGTATTGTAGCTAGCATGTTCATCTCCCATGTTAAAATTAGTATAGGACCCACTGATATTGAGGTACTGTGACATAGTGGTGGGCTTAACACAATATGGTCATATGCTGTGTCTGTTTCCCCATGTTAGTTTGCTAAGATAGGTGATTTTAAGTAGCCTTGTAAAATTTAGAGCTGGATATTATTTTGTGTGTGCGTGCTGTTCCCTAATCTGTATTTTGTATATATTTTGGTCTTTACGGCAGCACCACTACTTAGAAATGCATGTTCTTGACGTGCCCCAAATTCTCCTTTTTTTTTTTAGACTATAATCTACACACATTCTCAACTTCAGTAAGTGACTGTTATACAAAAGATTAGGTTAATTTATTTTCATTAAAATAATATTGAACTTGTCCTAGGAAATATATAATTCTGTCTGTTAGCCTAGAACTTCCACGATCTTATGAGGCTTAAACCAACTATTACAAGATGTTTATGTGATTTGAATTTCAAAACAATTGTAGAAAATTGGTTTCCTGCACATCTTAAAATAGACAAATTGCATGTGCAAATCAAATATAAAGTTCTAGAAAAGGTGGACTTTTCCATGTACATTTTCTCAAGTTTAATTATTTCATGACATAATGGAGATATGAAATTGTATTCAGTTTTTCCCAGTTTTTTTCTTTTATTTAATATTATTTACTTACTGTTGTTATCTATACTATTGATAATGTAGCCATGACAAAGATTTTTTTTCATTATTTCAATATGTATAGAGCGTATTGACTATACATTATTGATTGTTGAAACGTTGACAAAAGTATATAATTTCTTATTGTAATTACTTTAAAATAATAAAAAAAAATTGAAAGAAAAGGTGGACTTATAAACTACACATATAGTCCATAGTCATTTAGTGTACTTTATCATTTTAATTAGGATTTAGACTAGTGTAGGTCTAGGCATGATATTATGATAATGGGTCAAAGGTTGAATTTTTTCAAAGGAATTTAATACTTGCAACTCCACAAAAGCCGATATGGAAATTTCATGCTAATATTCAATGGACTAACCATATAAAATTAATATTTTTAATATTTTACTGGATTTTGTTCAGTAGAAGTACAATGTGTTCTAAATCCACTGTTTTTTTTTTTTTTTTTATCAAACCTACCTTTTAATGATGCCAGTGATGATTATTGTTGTTGTGATTGTAGCCATGGTAGTTGTGAGGTTTGTTGTAGTTGTGGGACCAAGCAGGAGCATAGGTTCTACGGTAGCCAGGAGGCCGATAGTACCAAGGTGGAACTGTCCCATATCCAAGCACATACCTCAATATTGGATATCCAGGCTGTCTATAATTATAATCTGCATATAAAAAGACATTGAGAGAATTGGTGGCTACCAGAAAAGTGCTTGGATGAAAATTAGGTTATTAATAGAGATGTCGCGAACCGTCCGCGAACTTCTCATGAACGGTTCGCCACGGTCGTTCGCGGTGAACTCCGGTCAGCTGACACATCCCGGCCAATCTCCGGCAGACCCTCCCTCCCAGACCCTCCCACCTCCTGGACAGCATCCATGTTGAAGCTGCCTTCAACATGGATGCCGTCCATGAAGTAGGAGGGTCTGGGAGGAATCTCTCTGCCGGAGATTGGCTGGGATGTGTCAGCTGACCGGAGTTCGCCAAACCGTGGCGAACCGTTCCCGAGAAGTTCGCGGACGGTTCGCGACATCACTAGTTATTAATTTGTATTTTTTAATGTCAGAATTGGGTTTCCAACATATTGTAGATGGTAGGAAATATAGAAATGCACTATTTAAATATATTTACATATACTATAAGCTGACTCAAGATGCACTCACAAAAATAATGTTCTCCTGATTTATTTTATATAATCACAAGATGGGTACAACATAATATATTTACATATAAGGTGTTGGCCCAGTGTATGTTTTAAAGGAACACTCCAAGCACCACAACCACTATAACTCATTGGCACCCTCTCACCAACTGTAACTATTTAAACCATTTTAGAATTCATACTAGGGGTCCAGCAGGCGCCTCTCCACACAAACACTTCCTCAGCCAGAGAGCTGAAGGCTCACTAAATAAGTTAAGTTAATATGACCAGTGACAGTGTAAGTGATGGATTGCTGTTCAATATGGATGTTTGACATGCTTCCGTCAAGCCGTATGTAGATAAGGCATGCGGCTGATGTTAGTCTAACCAGGTAAATAATGGTCCTCAGGAATGGAGCTAAACAGATCCAGTAAATGAGGTATGATGTATTACTTACTGTAATTTCCATTCCACATGATTGGTCTGAAAAAAACAATATGAAAGAAAAAAAAATTTATTTCAATTCACATATTTACATCTAAGTTTGATGAATACCTACAACTCATAATAGGTGGAATACATCAGAGATTCTACGGTTTCTTACTTAGATAAAAATAAAACTGTTTATAACCCTTACTGCAGTTAAATGTACAATTTACAAAATTCTAAGCAACAATTTCAAACTATGGCCTTTAGATGATCTTGGCCTACAATTCCCAAAATTCTATGAATGCACCTGATGGAGACAGAATCCTGGGAATTGTAGTTCAGAAACATTTGGGAGGTCAATATAAGAATGATGATAAATGTGACATTATCCCAGCATTATTCCCAACATAAGTTTCCAATTTATCACAATAAAAGGTACATTTCAAGCCTAGCAACAATGCTAAATCCACCCTGTATTTTCATATCCATCCTTAACATACTGTACATGTAACTCACCAAATTTGTCTGTCCTTGGAGATGTATCTGTTCTTATTCCCTCTATTTCGTTTGAGTTCTACTTCAACATATCACCAGCCACCCTTTATATAGAGATCATTGGTTGCTTTAAGAGCATAGGAGGTGGAGAAAACATTATTGAATATCACCTCCATCTTGTGACCTACTTCCATTTCCACCCATTAGTAGAATGCCAAAATTCTTGTTATGCAGGTTGAGTCAGTAGGATAAATGTGAACTCAACACCCAAATTCATAAATTCATAATTACCAACATGTAAAATAAAGAAATATCATAGTTTGCATATCTATTAATCCCTCCATAACATAGTTTATGCACGTCATAATGAATAGTTGTTTGCCTAAGCTTTTTGGTATGTAAGTGATGTGTTTGTGTGTGTGTGTGTGTGTGTGTGTGTGCGCGAGTGCATTTGTGTGTATGTATATATATATATAGATTTATATATATATCTATATATATATATATATATATATATATATTTATATATATATCTATATATATATATATATATATATATAAATATATATACAGTGCCTTGCAAAAGTATTAACCCTCCCCCCTTGACTTTTTACCTATTTTGTTACATTACAGCCTTAAGTTCAATGTTTTATTAATCTGAATTTTATGAGAAAAATATATACATAAAACTATTTTTTACAAATAGAAAACAGAAAATTGGCATGTCCGTATGCATTCAGCCCCTTTGTTATGAAGCCCATAAAAACCTCTGTTGCAACCAATTACCTTCAGACGTCACATAATTAGTGAAATTATGTCCACCTGTGTGCAATCTAAGTGTCACATGATATCATCACATCACCCAAAGAACACTATTTTTTGGGTACAATGGGATTTTTGAAAGTATATATATATATATATACACTGATCAAAAAAATAAAGGGAACACAAACACAACACATCCTAGATCGGAATGAATTAAATATTCTTCTGAAATACTTTGTTCTTTATATAGTTGAATGTGTTGACAAAAAAATCACACAAAAATTAAAAAATGGAAATCAAATTTTTCAACCCATGAAGGTCTGGATTTGGAGTCACCCTCAAAATTAAAGTGGAAAAACACACTACAGGCTGATCCAACTTTGATGTAATGTCCTTAAAACAAGTCAAAATGAGGTTCAGTAGTGTGTGTGGCCTCCACATGCCTGTATGACCTCCCTACAACTCCTGTGCATGCTCCCAATGAGGTGGCGGATGGTCTCCTGATTGATTTCCTCCCCGACCTGGACTAAAGCATCTGCCAACTCCTGGACACTCTGTGGTGCAACGTGACGTTGGTGGATGGAGCGAGACATGATGTCCCAGATGTGCTCAATTGGATTCAGGTCTGGGGAACGGGCAGGCCAGTCCATAGCATCAATGCCTTCATCTTGCAGGAACTGCTGGCACACTCCAGCCACATGAGGTCTAGCATTGTCTTGCATTAGGAGGAACCCAGGGCCAACCGCACCAGCATTTGGTCTCACAAGGGGTCTGAGGATCTCATCTCGGTACCTAATGGCAGTCGGGCTACCTCTGGTGAGCACATGGAGGGCTGTGCGGCCCCCCAAGGAAATGCCACCCCACACCATTACTGACCCACTGCCAAACTGGTCATGCTGGAGGATGTTGCAGGCAGCAGAACGTTCTTCACGGCATCTCCAGACTCTGTCACATCTGTCACATGTGGTCAGTGTGAACCTGCTTTCATCTGTGAAGAGCACAGTGCGCCAGTGGCGAATTTGCCAATCTTGGTGTTCTCTGGAAAATGCCAAATGTCCTGCACGGTGTTGGGCTGTAAGCACAACCCCCACCTGTGGACGTCGGGCCCTCATACCACCCTCATGGAGTCTATTTCTGACCATTTGAGAAGACATGCACATTTGTGGCCTGCTGGAGGTCATTTTGCAGGGCTCTGGCAGTGCTCCTCCTGTTCCTCCTTGCACAAAGGCAGAGGTAGTGGTCCTGCTGCTGGGTTGTTGCCCTCCTACTGCCTCCTCCGCGCCTCCTGATGTACTGGTCTGTCTCCTGGTAGCACCTCCATGCTCTGGACACTACCCTGACAGACACAGCAAACCTTCTTGCCACAGCTTGCATGGATGTGCCATCATGGATGAGCTGCACTGCCTGAGCCACTTGTGTGGGTTGTAGACACTGTCTCATGCTACCACTAGAGTGAAAGCACCGCCAGCATTCAAAAGTGACCAAAACATCAGCCAGGAAGCATAGGAACTGAGAAGGGGTCTGTGGTCACACCCTCCTTTATTGGGGGTGTCTTGCTAACTGCCTATAATTTCCACCTGTTGTCTATCCCATTTGCACAACAGCATGTGAAATTGATTGTCACTCAGTGTTGCTTCCTAAGTGGAAAGTTTGATTTCACAGAAGTGTGATTGACTTGGAGTTACATTGTGTTGTTTAAGTGTTCCCTTTATTTTTTTGAGCAGTATATAAATATATACATAGAGAGAGAGAGAGAATCCAACAAGGCAGGCTGCTCTTTGGACTTTAAAACAAAAATGTATTAAGTAGTATTAAAAATAACGACCAACGTTTCAGTCCCCGCTTGGGACCTTCCTCAGGGTCAAAAAGACAACAAAGTACTGTACACAAAATGGCAATATATACCATCACAATCAATTGAAAAACTCACCCAAGTGTTATCCTCCCTTCTTAAGGGACGCCAGACCTCTTCCCATTATCTTTTCTGGTGTGGCAATTTGCATACCTTAATTTCTGGTCAGAGCAAATCACCATTTACTTACCTCTCCTCATGGAAACTTTACCCAGTTCATCAGCGCTTGCCTGATCTTGACTTTGGGTCTCTCCAGCCGTGCCAGGTTCGGCTTCAAAACAGTGAGTCATAAAGCTGACTGTCGCGCTTCAGTTGCTGGTGCACATTGAAGTCCTGGTTCAGCTCTATGCTATTAAAACTTACCTAATTCGAATTCATCCTTTTGTTTATTCCATTTGTTTGAGTCATACGAATGCTAGGTTACTACTGGGCCTTTTGACTACTTTCCAGCTTAAATTTTTGTTTGCATATGTCTGGTTTTCATTCGGGAGCATGCGCACGTGTGGCGCATCCTGTTTGGCTACAGTACTCCAGAACATGTTAAGTTGATTGTACACTTAAAGCTTTCAAGGTGTTTTAGTTACGGAATGTCTTGCGCCACATATGGGCCGTTCGTGTATTTGCAAACGAACGACCGATCATATCCTTATAGGTTTAACTGGGGTTTATGCAGAAATCATACAAAATAATATAAAACTGGTGTTTGGTTTAAATTCTGGGTTATAGTGGCTGGTTTATGGTATACATCTGTCTATATTAAGTTTCCTCTTCATGTAAGTTCTCAAATTTGTTTTGTTTGACTGGATTTATCAAGCTCATTGCTTACATGTCATGTCTTGTTTTGACACAATGCCGTTTTTAAGGTTGCTTAGACTATTGCTCTTTTGTCAGTCTGTGGTCCGGGTCTCAACTTGTCTAGAGACTCAAAGGTGAGGTTTTTCTTTTACGGGTTAAGCTTAAGAATATAGCTAAATGCCATTGGCCCTCTTGTCATCTATCAGTGATTAAAAATTACTCTTTATACGGTCCTATAGGTATCATATTCAGGATTCCTGTTTAGAACTTCTGTGATCCACTTCCAATTAGGTGGGTCTATACGTAACAGGCTAGTAGTAGTTATATTGATTAGTCTCTGGATTCTGAATTATCATGTATTGTATTTTAGGTTTACGAGGCGCTCAGCATTTGAGCAGCAATTACTTTACTTCTCACACTCTACTGTTCATTTAGGTTAGTGGTTATATAGTTACATGGGTCCACGATCTGGCCCTCACAATCAATTCCAAACCTTATATGTTCACTTTTCTATGTTGTTAGGTGCTAGGCCCCTGCTAGTTCAACAGAGTAAGTGATGAGAACCGCACCCAATCCCAACGGCCAAGGGTGCTCCAGAGCAGGACCAGCAATCCCAGTACAATAATCCAAGAGCAAAAACTCACAGGCACTCCAACTTCAAGCCGCAGGCAGATTTATTATGACAGACTGCAACGCAACGTTTCGACCTTGAAAAAGACCTTTCCGGTCGAAACGTTGCGTTGCATTCTGTCATAATAAATCTGCCTGAGGCTTGAAGTTGGAGTGCCTGCTAGTTCAACGACCACTTACACTTAGCGCCGGTTCAACATAGGCCAAGTCATAGACTAGTAGGTATCTCAATTGTTATTTTACTCTAGTAACAGTATGCTTTTTGTTACTACAACAACTACTATTACCTTCATAGGTATTGCTTGGGTTCGCTACCTATGTCCAACTCCGTATCTATTTAATGCCACAAGTATGTAACTCTCGATATTATCATACCCTCCTCCCCTCCCACATGCGACTGGTCACAGTTTAGATAGCTATATACTGGCTTATAGGGTTCAGGAATGCACTAGGTAATTTTTCAGGCCTTAATGCCTTAATATAGAGGCCCCGCAAGGCCAACACCCATCCTTATATTTGAAAGTATTTTACCCATCGGCATAACTCATAGTTAGTCGCCTCGTTTGGTTACATAGAGAGGGTCTCACCTGTCACTCCCATTATATCTTATGCTTTACCAGTCACGAAGAAGTCGCCACCCCGCCACATCATTTGGTGGCAATGAATCCCCTCAGGCCAACACATAAATAGAGCCTCTCAAGCCGCTTACCAACTAAAAGGGCCTCACCTGTCACAATACTTAGGTAATTTTTTTGCCACTTGGCATTAATTAGACAGCCAGTACAGTAGAGGTTCTCCTTCATAACTTACTATTCTTTAATTTCTAGGATGTTGCAACTACCAGAAGGTGGGGACAAATTGTCTATCCCTAGCAACCCAGCTAGGTCAAATACTCCATCATGTGGAGGGGACAATGCTAGCCCAACCTCATTCAGATCTTGGACTATTCCGAGAATCACGGCGGAACATACCCTACCCTGCCACCGCCAGGAAAGCAGAACTATACAGACTTTTAAACACCACTATGGATACCTGGGGCTGGTGAAGGGTCCAGTAGTGGCCAGTCATCTGACATACAGGCAGTCATGTCCTCATTGGAACGGAAACCGTCCTAATTCACCTTCTGGACTGGTTACTTCTGAACCTGCATATCTCCACAGCGTTCATTCTTTTAGTCAGACTGAAATCAGCAGGATACAGAGCTTTTCTGCAGGCACTTTGCGGGCCTCAAGACACCAGCTTGTGCTATTTGCTCCTCGGCCTCCCACACCTCTAACTTATGCCCCAATAGCCCAAAGGTTTGTTCTAATTATCCCACCCCTGCAACCACTTCAGAGCCAGAGAAAATAATTAACCTCTTAAGGTCCACGGACGTACTAGGTACCTAGTATGTCTACGGCACGTCCTTATAACTTACTTGATTGCCGCCGTTCCCCAGCCAGCAACCGGTGTTGCTCTCGGTCTGGGGGCGCTGCCTGACAGCCCAGATACCCCCATCAGCAAATTAGGCCGCCGCGGGCAATGTGATCGCTCTTAAGGAGCAATCACATGGCCGCAATAGTCCATAGTACTGTCTGCAGGGGGACTGCCTAAACTGACTGCTGTAAAATAAAATAAAATATGTTAATACATTTAAAATAATAATAATAATAAAAAAATATATGTGTATATATATATATACGATATATATATATATATATATACATATATTATATCTATATTAAATATGATGTATATATCTTATGTATATAATGTACTAAGTGTATATATACATATATTAATATAAAAATACATTTATAGTTAAATTACACATGTACAGTATATTATATTGTGTGTGTATATTAAATATAAATAATAATAAATAAAAACGTAAAAATAATACAAATATTTAAAATGTAATTTTATTCTAACTTTTTTATATTAACATATATATATATATATATATATATCTCAAAACACACTTAGAATGAAATTATATATATATATATCTATGTATATATAAATAAATAAAAATAATATGATATATATATATATATATATATATATCCATATACATAATTACATAAGTAATTTCATAAATATACTTATATTTATATATATTTAAATTCTACGTGCATATTTATGTAATATTTTTACATTTTATTTATTGCAATTTGAGGGACCTGCCTGATAACCCAGGCTGAAAATACAGAGAATTTAATTTGCTAGCACTGTATTTAACCCTGTAACTTTCCAAGACACCATAAAACCTGTACATGGGGGTTACTGTTTTACTCAGGAGACTGTTTTACTCAAGGGTTCCACACACAGATATGGTGATTAACTTCGGGAGGATGATTTTAGACTTGGTTCATATGCAAGCCAGCCTTCCCAAAGAGAAGATAGAGTGCATCTTGTCATACATAGATCAGTATTTAAATACTGGTTCATGCAATCTCAATCTCTTTCGGGTTCCCTCAACTTTGTGATGAAAATAATTCCGCAAGATCAGGCTTTCATATCCAGATTACTTTTCCTCCATTTTCAGTCAGATATTTGCTATAGTGCGCTTGACCAACATGCCACATCTGATTTGCACACGTGAAATGAATTTCTACTGAAATGGAATGGGAAAAGTATGTTCATCCCCTAATAAACTGACAAGTCCCTTACGATCTGGACAGACGTGGCTGCTACTTCCGGGTTCGCAACAATTTGGGGAAATAAGTGGTTATGGGGTGGTTGGACAGAGAAAATTAAGAACATCCAGGAATTTCCTACCACTTCACTCTTATTTGAGCTATACCCGATTGTGGCAGCTGCAGTAACTTGGGGCGTGTTATGGCCAGTTCAAACTGTCAGGTGTTTCTCAGATAACTTGGCTATATGCTACATAATCAACAAAGAACGCTCAGTGTCTCTGACCATAATGCGCTTCACGAGGAAACTGACTTGGTTAGCTGCTACTAACAACTTTTTCTTGGGATGTGTCCATATCCCAGGAATTCATAACGTTTCCACTGATCACTTATCTCGCTCTCGATTACAGGAGTTCCGCAGAGCGTTACCAACGGCAGCCCAGGTAGCTACCCCTGTACCATTATGGCAAGACATAACAATGGACAAAACAATCTTTTGTCTCATGGCCGGCACCTTCCACAGCTGGTGCTTTCCCACAATACTGAAAAATCTTGATTGGGCTTTCCACATTTGTAACCGGTTCTTGCTAGAATTTTATATTGTAAACAAGTTTTCTATGGAGACAATGGTTGCTTTTACTTCTTTTTGCCATCTTCACTTAAAATTGTCTTTTAACACTATTAAATTATATTTAACCGGTATACACCACATTCTCAACCTATGGCTTAACAAACACAGTTTTCTGTCATCCTATCAAATTAAAACCATGTTGAAAGGCATTACAAATGCAAATACTACTCCTCCACCCTCTAGGATACCTATCCACAGTCAGCTTTTCCAGTCATTTTCCGATCTCATTGATACTGCACTATATGAACCACACATGAATGACATCATTAAAACCACCATTTATCTGGCTTTCTATGGATTTCTCAGACCAAGAGAATTTACTTCCATAAACGTCACTAACCTAGACATTAAGAGATCTCAACTCACAAAGATACAAGTGTCACGATTACTATATGACCCAACACGCAGAACTATGTCATACACAATGAACAAGGATAACATATACCGGGCCTTAGAATGGCCGGACTTAACGTAAATAAAGAATGGTCAAAATACTAGCCAAGGTCAGGAGCACAGAAAGAGACACAACGAGGAAACAAACCAAAAGTCAAGGATACCAGAAATATGGGGAAGTCAAAATACAAGCCAAAGTCAAATACCAAAAAGAACTAGAATAGGAATGCACTCCCCGTTAACCAACTAATGGAAACCATGACAGGGCACTGACCAAATGCTATTTTGAGTTTAAATGACCCTCCTAAGACAATGATTGGTTCTACATAGCCTTTGACCCCAAAACGTACGTGGGCGTCGTTTGCGTGACGTCACACGCATGTCAATGCCATCTTTGTTGATTACGAGAGTGGGGCTACATAGTTGATTGGGACTGCAGCGGCCACCATTAGAATGCCGCACCGGTCGGGGATTGCTCAACGAGGGTGCTGAATGGCAAGCTGATTTGCCTTAGGTAAGTTTTTATTATTTTTAACAGCATGACCGCATCGATCAGATACAGCTACACTGTATGGAGGTGCGAGGGACGTGACAACAAGACCACTATGTACCAAAACTAGCCAGAGGAGACAGTTTGCAGAAGTCCCCTATTACCCTACCGATAATCAATGGCGTCCTGTCAAAATTCTAGCTAACCACCTAATCTCTCTTCACGGTTCCCCTGATCAGCCTCTTCCAGCTGTATACGGCAATACTCTAACGACAAGTAAATTCATGCTTTAGGTAAGAATATTACAGGTCTTAATCTGACTAATTACTCAGGTCACTCCTTCCACATTGGTGCCGCCACCACTGCCTCCAGAAAAAATATACCGGCACATATTATAAGACCTTAGGATGGTGGAAGTCCTCCGCTTACTCCAGATACATACCTCAACCTGTTCTGGAAATGTTATATGCTTATTTTGTAGACTGAATAAATCATGTATGGTATACACATTTTTGCCCTCTTTTATTACAGGGCTACTGCATCGTTGGTTTTGACATACTTCAACCCACTTTTTCATTTTACTATATGTCTCATATAGAGACCGTACATACCTTCCACTAATAGGCTCTCATTGTGGCTTTTATGCCCCAAACAATCTATATCACACATACATACAGGCCAGGAAACCCAGGACGGACCATTATAACAGGTATGGGAACCCTCACTGAACAAATATCTGGCCTAATAGAAAACATTCTTAAGCCTCTAGTTATTAAAACTGAGAGATTTATACAGGACACTACAGACTTCGTCAATAAACTTAACCAGATAAATGAACTACCTGAAAACACAATACTAGTAACAATGAATGTGGAATTCTTATACAGCAACATCCCACGTAAGAATGGTATTGAGGCCTGCATTACATTTCTCTCATCCCACGAACCAACACACAAATATGATAGCACAATAATTGCCCAGCTTATAGAATTCATACTCGCACACAACTATTTCAGTTTTAAGAACAATAACTACCTACTAATGACAGGGACAGTGATAGGCACAAAAATGTCACCCCAATACGCTAATCTTTTCATGGCTGACCTAGAAAAAAGATTTTTATGTACACAGCCCTACAAACCATATACATATTATGGTTACATCGATGATATTTTCATAATATGGACAGAAGAAGAAGAAAGCCTTATAGACTTCCATAAATCATTGAATTCATTCCATTGAATTCATTCCACCCGTCGATAAACCTTAAAATTAACTTTTCAAATCATAGTGTGAGTTTCTTGGACTGAACAATAACTGTCACCAATGGTATTCTTCATTTGTCTGTATGTAGAGAACCTACAGACAGGTACAGCTACCTCCGCAATTCCAGCTTCCATCCCAATCACACCAAACAAGGTATTATCTACAGCCAGGGCTGGCCTTAGGCAATTAGGCGCCCTGTGCGAAAAGTCTTAATGGCGCCCCCCCACCAAGTTGCCTGTATACAGTCACACACACAGGCACAGGCAGACAGTCACACAAACAGTATAAGCAGACAGTCAGACACGCTCAGTTACAGGCAGACAGTCACAGAGCCAAGCACACAGTTAAAGGCAGACAGTCACACAGTTACAGGCACACAATCACGAACAGTTAAAGGCACACAGTCATAAGCAGACAGTCACACATACTCCATTACAAAACTATTACGGGTGATCAGGTGGAAATTGTATATTTCAAGAAGGAACATGTAACATTATTAAAGAGCTAGAACCAGGAGACTCTGCCTAATGCACCCAAGATGGCAGACGAGTTCCCTGAGCAGGGGCAAGTGCTGCACGGGCAGAAGCTGATACAGCCAAACTCCACTGACTACATGCTGCAATGCATAGACAGGGCATTTGAGAGATTCTGGCAGCAACTGGAAGCTAAAACAGTGCCCTCACAGCCCAAGCCGCATCAGAGACTACGCAATGGCGGGGACCTCGGAAACCCAGACCTTGTGGGGAAATCATACCAGAACAAGCCTGACACTAACCCGCAGGAGCAACGGGCCACGACGGCTGCTGCTGCGCAGCCCAGGCTACGGCAACAGAAACCAGGTACCTGCATCAAGCGCAAGGCAACCCGAGCCCCTCGCGGCACTTGGACGAAGATGGCACGACCTCATCTGCGGCTCAGACCCACGGAACCCAGTGACAGACCCCCAAGCAGGTTGAAAAGAGCACAGAGGATGCCCTGATACACCTACCATGTGCCACAAGACACAGAGACTCTCCCGCACTACCGAGCAGGGGCAGGGAATGCAGCTGCTGTACCCCACCGTAGCCGAGTGGGCACTCCACAGATCCAAACTATGTACAGCCACAGATGGGCATTGGTTAGCTACAAATGCAGAATCTGACTCGGCCATAGGCCTCCCTACACTCTAGGCCATACACAGCAGCACTAAGATTAGCTAGTCTAATTTGATATTTACAACACCTGGCTGAGCAGACACCCTGTGCAATTATCATGCTCCATTGCTTTATTCTGCTTTATTTTTTCTTATTTTGCTTTATTTTGAAACCCACACGGCATAGAGCTACAGTTAGTCAAGGCTGTAATGCGGGGAGTCCCATATTCTCACTCTCATATGCATATAATTGATGACAAGGACCAGTGGCATTAAACCTCCAGTGTTAATCAGAGCATGTTATACTATGTTTGTCTTAATTTTACTTAGCTCCTACCTAACATATATCATGCTCCAAGCAATACCTTACTTTTCTTTAAACTTGTACTCACTCAGATCTTATATTCAGATCCAAAGTTAAGCTTGTTTTATTATACCTATAAAAAAAAGTGCATTTTACTTATATGTCATGACACGATATCTTGATGTATGTTTCTATTATGCTTATCGCTGCCATCATGGCATCTCAAGCCTGTATGTCAATCGTTGCACAATAAAAATAAAGAATTAAAAAAAAAAAAAAGCTAGAACCATTCATTTCAGAGGACCCTACACTCAAAAAAATATTTCCTGAACCACCCATACTAGCATTCAAACAACTGCCTAACCTGAGACAGAGATAGGTATGCAGCAAATTGTCCACAGAACAGGAGCTCACACAGAATGGCGCTGTACGATGCAACAAATCACTCTGCAAACTGTGTCAGTATATATGTGGCAATAACACAGCCAGACACAATAACAAATCATACAACATTAAGGGAACATATTCGTGCACATCTGCGAATGTGGCGTTCATGATTCAGTGTACAGTGTGTGACAAAGGTTAGTACATTGGAGAAACTGGCCTTAAGCTGCATCTCAGAATGAATCTACACAGACACTCAATCCAGAACCACAAGGATATCCAGAACTGATATTGTACCCCTGGTGGTCATCACTTCACCCAGATTGGTTACTCCATCCAAAACTTCAGGATTCAAGTTCTTAAAGGGAATTTCACAGACTCTCATGAACGAAAGACATTTGAGATGAAAATGATCACACATTTCAACACCAGAAATGAAGGACTTTATGTAGACTCGGGCTTTCTCACACACTACCAAAACATTTATAAACACACATCTTAATGTCTTACATGGTTCTTTTTCAATATTCTCGTTTCACCTGTATGGGATCAATTTATATACATAAATATATGCAGCTATATACTTGCATGCCTTCCTCTGCTGTTTTTTTTTTTTAACTGGCTTATTGACTCTCCTCTGTTTATTAACTTTCTCTTGCTATTCTCAGCCAACCTGAACCTTTCTCTTTTAGGCACATCTTCTGCTATTTATGGCATCCCCTTCCCCGCCCCTTCACTAACATCAGTTGTTTTAAGTGTTGTTTTAATTGTTGATTTGTATTGCTTCAGACCTGAGGAAGAGAGGGAACTCTGGAAAGCTTGTCTTTGATATATGATGTTAGTCTAATAAAAAAAAAGGTATCATTGCATACTGCAATACTCTGGTATTTTGGTATCTTGTCTACTGGACTAATACGGCTAATCCAATTGACACTTTATATAGTCCCGATCTGGGACTGAAACGTTGACCTTTGGCACATAATTTTTACTTTGATGTAAGAATAAAAGTTACTTTTTAAACGGAGCCTGTAGTGCGGACCATCTGTTGAATTTTATATATATATATATATAAAATTGTTCAGCACTCCACTTACTGGTGTTCAATGCCAAACTTTCGTCAGGATCCTGTTTGTATATTAAACTGAAACGTCGATCCTATTATTTGAGCAATAAAAGTTAAGTTTTATTCTACAACTTGAAAGTCCCTGGAGTGCTATCTATACTACATTGTGTGTATATATATATATATATATATATATATATATATATATATATATTAATCCAGGATCTACAGTATAGTATGCAAACCCCTTTAAGCTATTCAGAACTATTTTTAACTGGGACTCAAATTAAGTACATGACATTCAACTGGCAATCCATTGTTCAATGGAAAAAAAAAACTTGGTGGTCCATTTTTCCATTGTAATATACTAATTAACTAAAGAACCATTGTTAGGGGACATTGCTTGAGCCATGATGAATATGATGTGCTTGAACTATCTATTGGAGACCTTTTGAAATGACATTTAGACTCAATTTTGGGTAACAACCCAGACATAAAGAAGCAATAAATGAGGCAGTGGCCATGGACCAATGATAATAATGTATCCAGATATAGTAGAATTGTAGAGCAGCCGAGGTTAAAGAATACTTCAATAGCCTGACATTAGAGAAGAGAAGGTAGGTTAACGTGTTTCAAAACATGTTATACAGTATATCCTTGGTATGATCATTATTGATTTTTTGAGAATGATTGTGATGAGTAATGTACAAAATAACAGTGAGTAATCTCTGTTGGACAACAATATATGTATGACAAACACAAATAAAATTATAATAGACACAGTAAAAACACAAATAAAATTTAAAAAGGTAATCACATTTGCAGAGGGCACATCTCAAAGATGTATTAAAGGAATCGCAAACAAGACCTTCTCATTTAAAATTTGTAAAGTGACTTAATATTTTCATGTGCTTCTCTGTCAGTTATACCAGTATGTTTTAGTGTTCCAACAAGGGATCCAGCAAATGGTTACTCAGAAACTAATCAACACAGATTCTTTTTATATCATATCTTCAAAATTTGAAGATCTATAATTATGCAAGTTTATTTATGCTTTTGGGATAATCTCCTTTGCATGAATGTTGTTTAATATGTTCTGTCATTTTGACGAGGAAATCCAGGCGCTATGACCACTACAGAGCATTGTAGTGATTATGTGTAGAGTTGAGCGGACACCTGGATGTTCGGGTTCGCCGGGTTCGGCCGAACATCGGCAAAAAGTTTGAGTTTGGCCTCAAACTTGACCCAAACTTGACCCTGAACCCGAACCCCATTGAAGTCAATGGGGACCCGAACCTTTGGGCACTAAAATGGCTCTAAAAAGGTCCTGGAAAGGATAAAGGGCTGCAAAAGGAAGTAAAATGGGGGTAAGAGTAGGACAAATGGTAGCCCCCAAAATATTGGGACATATATAAAAAACAAAACAAAGAATAAGTGCACTTGAGTATAACAATGGCTGAGTGAGGCCAGTATAAATGTCTATTCTGCACAAGGTACAGACAAGTCTGGTGGGATCCATGCCTGGTTCATTTTAATAAACGTGAGCTTGTCCACGTTGGCTGTGGACATGCGGCTGCGCTTGTCTGTGATAACACCCCCTGCTGTGCTAAACACAAGTTCAGACAATACACTGGCTGCAGGGCAGGCCAGCACCTCCAAGGCATAAAGGGCAAGCTCAGGCCATGTGCCAGATTTGGAGACCCAGAAGTTGAACCCAGAAGTTGAATGGGGCAGACCCATCAGTCAGTACGTGTAGGCGTGTGCACACGTACTGTTCCACCATGATGCTGAAATGCTGCCTCCTGCTAAGACGTTCCATATCAGCTGGTGGTGCTGGTTGTTGTGGCGTGCTGACAAAGCTTTTCCACATTTCAGCCATGCTAACCCTGCCTTCTGAAGTGCTGGAAGTGCCCCAGCTGCGTTGGCGACCTCTTCCTCCTCCTCTGCCTTCGCCTTGTGCTTCACTGAGCCCCCGGTGTCAGTTGGGAATGCCCTCAGCAGCGCATCTACCAGCGTGCGCCTGTAGTCGCGCATTTTCCGATCACGCTCCAGTGAGGGAATTAAGGACGGCACGTTGTCCTTGTAACGGGAATCCAGCAGGGTTGCCACCCAGTAATCAGCACAAGTTAGAATGTGGGCAACTCGGCAGTCATTGCGCAGGCACTTTGGCGACTCAAGATAACCTCGGGCCGATCGCACGTCCACGTGACGGATGTCTGCCCTATCAACTTTCGATGATACTTTCTGTGCCTACCATGGTGACCACGGGTAATGGGGAATCAGGGTTCAATTCTGGAGTGGGAGCCTGAAAAATGGCTACCACATCCAAGGAAGGCAGCAGGCGTGCAAATTACCCACTCCCGACGCGGGGACGTAGTGACGAAAAATAACAATTCAGGACTCATTCAAGGCCCTGTAATTGGAATGAGTATTGGAAGGCAAGTCTGGTGCAGAGCGACTGACCCGTGCGTGCTGCAGCTGAAACTCCACTATCGCCTGCTGCTGCTCGCACAGTCTCTCCAGCATGTGCAAGGTGGAGGCGGTGAGCGGGACAGGCGAGCAGCAGCAGGGTTAGAACGCCAAAAGCGCACACAGATGGCCCGCACTTTCTACAGCAGCTCTGACATATCTGGGTAGTTTTTCAGGAATTTCTGCACCACCAAATTCAGCACATGCACCAGGCAAGGGATGTGCGTCAAACCGGCTAGGCCCAGAGCTTCTACGAGATTTCACCCATTATCGCACACCACTAGGCCGGGCTTGAGGCTCAGTGGCAACAACCACTCATCGGTCTGTTGTTCCATGTCCGTCCACAGTTCCTGCGCGGTGTGGGGTTTTCCCCCAAAACATTTGAGTTTTAAAACAGCCTGCTGTCGTTTCCCCCTGGCTGTGCTGAAGTTGGTGGTGAAGGTGTTACGCTGACCGGATGAGGAGGTGGTAGATGAGGAGGAAGCGGAGTAGGAGGAGGAGGCAACAGGAGTCAAAGAGAAATGACCTGCAATCCTCGGTGGCAGAAGGACATGTGCCAAACTGCTATCCGCCTCAGGCCCATCCGCCACTACATTTGCCCAGTGTGCAGTTAGGGAGATATAGCGTCCCTGACCGTGCTTACTGGTCCACGTATCAGTGGTTATGTGGACCTTGCTACAAATGGCGTTGCGCAGTGCACACCTGATTTTTTCCGCCAATTGGTTGTGCAGGGAAGGGATGGCTCGCCTGGAAAAGTAGTGGCGGCTGGGAACCACGTACTGTGGGACAGCCACCGCCATTAGGTTTTTAAAACTGTCGGTCTCCACCAGATGGAATGACAGCATTTTAAAGACCAGGAATTTTGAAATGCTGGCATTCAGGGCCAGGGAATCGTGGGTGGGTAGGGGGGTACTTCCTCTTTCTCTCCAGTGTTTGGGAGATGGACAGCTGAACAGTTTCATGGGACAGTGTGGAGAGGCTTGGGGACAGTGGCGTTGCTGCCACATCCTCTGTTTGCGGGGTGGCAGGTGCCACTGTCACTCCAGAGGTGGAGGAAGAGGCCGAGATAGCAGAAGAAGAGGAAGCATGAGGTGCCTGAGACCTTTCTTAGTTTTTGAGGTGCTTACTCCACTGCAGCTCGTGCTTTGCATGTAGATGCCTGGTCATGCAGGTTGTGCTCAGGTTTAGAATGTTTATGCCTTGCTTCAGGCTCTGATTGCAAACCACTCGTGTCTTGTTGTCAGCACATTGTCTGAAGAACTGCCACGCCAGGTAACTCCTTGGAGCTGGCTTTGGTGTGCTCGGTCCCTGGGTGCGGTGGGCAGTAGCAGTCGTACTGTCTAGGGTTCGGCCGCTCTGCTTTTGCACCCTGCTCCCTTTTATGCTGTGCTGGTGCCTCTGTGCGACCACCGCCTCTTCCTCCAAACTGGACACATCACTCGCATGACCTTGATTCCATGTGGGGTCTAGGACCTCATCATCCTCCACATCATCTTACACCCACTCCTCAACCCTGCCCTCCTTGCCGGTCTGCACACTGCAGAAAGCCACAGCAGTTGGCACCTGTGTTTCATCATCATCAGAGACGTGCTGCGGTGGTCCTCGCATGTCCACATCCTGACACATAAGTGGTTGTGCATTAGTGCACTCAATCTCTTCCACTTCTGGGGTGGGGCTAGGTGGATGGCCCACAGAAACCCCGCCAGCAGAGTCATCAAGAAGCATAAAAGACTGCTGCATGACTTGTGGCTCAGACTGCTTGGCTTATTTGCAAGGGGCTGAGGTGCCAACTCTGAGCTTTCAGCAGGGAACCGGGAGGGAGACAATGTGAAGGAACTGGAGGCACTGTCAGCCATCCAATTTACTATCGCCTGTACTTGTTCTGGCCTCACCATTCGTAAAGCGACATTCAGGCCTACCAAATAACGCTGAAGGTTCTGTCGCCTACTCGCACCTGAGGAAGGTGTTTCACTTGTGTAGCTGGCACAGATCGACCACGTCCTCTCCCTTCAACAGGAGCTCCACCAACACCAGCAGCACCACGACCAGGGCCACGTCCCTAATTTGTCTCCTCATTCTTTGCGTTCACCCACCAAACTAACAGATGGTTTAAATTTGAATTTTTCAAAGTGCGATGTAACCACGGTTCTATTTGACTCTCAGATATGAAGTGCACCGCAGGCCGCAAATGTACTATTTAGCACCCAAAAAAATTGCATTTTTCAAAGTGCGATGTAACCACAGTATTTGACAGTTCAATTTGACTCTCAGATATGAAGTGCATGCCGAAATTTACTTTTTAACACCCAAAAAATGTGAATTTTTAAAAGTGCAATGTAACCACAGTATTTGACGGATCTATTTGACTCTCAGATATGAAGTGCACACCCCAAATTTACTTTTTAGCAGAAAAGAAATGTGAATTTTTTAAAAGTGCGATGTAACCACAGTATTTGACGGTTCTATTTGACTCTCAGATATGAAGTGCACGCCTCAAATTAAATTTTTAGCACCAAAAAAAGTTACTTTTCTGCCTTTTCTGTGTTATAGATTTTTCATTTATTTGTTATTTTATTTTTATTATTGAATTTTGTTTACCACGCGACAAATGGGTAGCATTCAAGTTCACAGCGTATATAAAATCACATTACATTGAGAACAATTTTAACTGTACAGGAGAATACGTTTTTTTGTCAAGGTTCATAAGCCTTATTAGAATGAAGATGAGGACACTAAACATGTTGTGGGTTACCATTTAGAAACTCATGCTCAGATGAACAGCATTTATACCCAGGAAACAGTGCAATATTTGCACATTATAAAATAAGCATAAAGTTACATGGTTATATGGATACAAAAAGAAAAAGTAACTAAACAATAATATTAGTGAGGCAGTTTTCAATTAAACTTAAATATAGAAGTGACAAAAACATAGGCAAGGTTCCATAAGGGATTCTAGGGGTAATCTCCTATTTTATGTTACAATTCCTAAAATACCTATGCATTTTTGTGTTGTCAGATCTTATATATTTTTTTCCAATTGACTCCAGTTAGGAGAGTATAGTATTATTAATTTTGTCTTTATTTGTAGATCAATGATTGGCTGAGATCTGTTACCTGACATTTTGTCAATGAATACATTTCTTATAGAACAAAAACTGTCATAGTGAAATGGGACTCTCCACTTTAGCTTTATCACAGAAGACTAGAAGGACTGATGGTGTCTGTGGGACCCAGTTTAAAGTCAATCTACTCCAAAATGATTTTACTCTGTACCATGGGACTGTTCCAAGTGACTCTTGGCACCATAACCAACCATTAAAACATTGTTTCTTTACAGGTTATAATGGTTATATTGCGATTCATAGCTGAAGTGTTTTCAGAGTTCCCTTTCACATGACCCATATATAGCATAACACATACCTGTTGATAGTTATTATTTTTTACTGTTACATTTCATGAAAGAAGGAAAGAGGAATGGTCTCAACATACCAAATTATTGAGATTGTTGACCGTCTTGTTGGGAAAAGAAGCAGGCGTTCATATGAAACCACCGGTGTTGGTAATGTCGAGTGTCCCTCTTATAGTTCCAGACACTCAATGACCAAGTCCTGCTGCATGCGCTCGTGTGACAAGATGGCCGACATTTTCTCCAGCATGTGTTGTTCGGTTAATACGAACGGCAGCCACAGAGGGAGAGCATTAAGTTTGTGGTTAGTTTGTAGTTAAAGAGCCAGGGGAGTGGTCGGTGTTCAGTAGATGACAGCTCCCGAACTGAGGGAAGATATTTGTGTTCGGGGAAACTTTTAACACGCACTAGAAGGGAAATGTCTTGCGAACAGAATAAATAGTGAGTTTGTCATATTCTATATGGCCCATAGTCAGTGGGCAGGAGGCCAGATTCAACACGCCTCCAGGGGTTCGTGACAAATGTCCAGGGGAAGGAGCGTTTGTCACACCAACTTTCCTACAGAAGGAGTCTAGATGCAGTATGGGCACCTAGGCAAGTTGTGAAACCATTCTGAAATAGTTTAAAGGTTACTCTGGGGGTGGGGGTGCCATTGCGTTAGTTGCACCATAACAACTACAGAGGGCGGTAGTAGCAATGGTACTTGGAGTGTTCCTTTGAACTATTGAAACTAAAGATATCTATTTTGTTCTTATTGTCTTCAAATTAATAAAGTTTAATCATCATATGGTGCTTGGAGTGTTTATTAAAGTCCACATCTTTGTTTTAAGCATCTACTCTTAGACTTTGCTTGTAAAAATACAGACAGCTTAAAAGAGCTGGGAATCTTCAAGTTAAGCTCAACATGTTTCTATTTTTCATAGAACAAACAATTAAAATCAGTAGCTAGTGGGTTGTGTTTGCATATGTTATGGCGCCACTTTATAGAGAATAAAATTCCACCAAGTTATTGCATAAGCCAGATTTGATTTGTGGGGAAAGTATAGGTGAAAGTTATTTTGCTATATCATTTTGATTTCCTTGTTTTGTTTCCCCTCCTGTCGTTACCATAGTTACCATAGAACTGGCAATTATAGAAAACATATATGGGACTTATAAAGATTAAAGCGGCACTGTCATACCAAATTTACCTTTCACCTATTGTTTCCTCTTGTCTTACTCTCTCCTAATTTTTTTTCATTTTCAGGTATTTCATTTTATTGAATCCCTACTCACTATTGTTAAGGTGAGGGGGGGTAAGTTGGTTTCTATTTTATTCAGGGGTGACTACAGGCTTGGGGTTCCCTAGTAACTTGGGGGAGGACTTTACTTTTACAATTAGCCCCTTACCCGCTTCCAATGGGTGGAGGCTATGGGGGACAACAGGTCCACCCCATGTCACATAGGAAACCCAACCACCGCCAATAGGACCTATCGTTCTCTCCCTTTTTGGGGGGCCGTGGG